ATCCTATACTTAAGGAATTGTTAAAAAATTAGATGGTCATTCTAAGGAGATTAATGCATACTGACTGACCTTATACCATTGATTTTTGCATATACCTAGAAAATAAAGGGGAAAACCTCTGTGGAAATAATATTATGTCTACATTCTTAAAGACTGTATATTATAATTTTAAAATATGTTTTATTGATTTTTGAGAGAGAGGATGAGAAAAGGAGAGATAGAAACTTCAATGAGAAACATTGGTCAGCTGCCTCCTGCATGCCCCCCACTGGGGATCGAGTCCACAAGTCAGGCATGTGCTCTGACCAGGAACTGAGATGACCTTTTGGTGCATGGGACCATCCTCAACCACTGAGCACACTGGCCGGGCAAGACTAGCTATTTTTAATGCTACTACTCAAAGTTAGAAAATATATTGGACAGTTCCACCATTTGATATTTGATCACTGACTTCTACAAAATAAATTTCAGAGACTGTAAGTGCTTTGAATCCTCCCATTCAACCATAGCAATTATTTACTAATTTAAGATGAAATCTTTATTGGGACAGAACTACTGAAAATAACTTCAGGGTGGATCTTTAAGCAGATGCTTACCTGGCTGTATTTACAGGGGAACAGCCCAAGCAAGAGTGATAGTGAAACATGATGAGAAGTCCAGCTGTATTTGCCTGACTGCTGCCAGTTGTTTATCTCTTCCTTGTGTGATATCTTACAAAAACAAATGACTAATACGCCTTCTCTTCCAAAGTTCATCCAAGTAATGTGGAAATTGGCTCACTAACATTGCATTCGGCTTTGTCCAGATTAGATACTATAACAAGGAAAAATGTTAAAACCTGAAAACGGGTTTCACAGAATATCTTTAAAGAAAATACAGCATTGAGTAGTGCTTACATGTTGTTCTCCCTCTTAGTTGATCACATTGATGGATGAGACCATACTCAGTCAATTCAGAATTTATTAAAAGTTCAGGCAATAAAAAAAAATAAATACGAAGATGAAGATATTTAAAATATTCCATCCAAGAATTTAAAGTATGTTGAACCAAACATTAATAATCTGCTGGTAAAGATAAGCAAGTAAACTGTATCCATTATGAATGCCTTCATCAGCAAGAAACAAAATTCCATTAACAGAGGCTCATGCAATAAATAATTTTAACTTCTCACATGGAAGAAGTCTGTCAATGAGCAATCTCAGTCAGATGCAGTATTTCAACAGCATTTCATCCCTTGGCTATGCCACCCTTGGCTTGTGCCTTCTGGCTTTGTGCTTCCCACCTCACGGCTACAAAGTAGCTGCCACATCTCTGAGCATCATGTCGGTGTTCAAAGCAGAAATGAGAAATGTAGTAAAGAGGCCTCTGTGATCCACCTTCAGCATAGCCAAGTTTTAGAGAAAACTGACAGCATGTGGCCAGTTGGTTACTGAATTTGCCCAGGGCAAACAGGATGTAGGGAGGAGGGGAGAGGGTATAAAAACAAAGGACCCTGTACATGAACAATAACATGTTTTCCAGGAAGATGCACCCAGCACAACTAGACAAGGGAGGTAAAGACAACTAGCAAAGACCGCCTCCCATTTTTTAAAATAACCCAATAGGAGAAAATAAGACCTAGGCAACCTATGGGGGAAACTGTTAACCCCATAGTACTCAGCCCATGAGGAACCCGGGGAGGGATTCTTGCACACTAGGAATAAATAGCCTGTGATCACTGCTCCGTGTTCAACCGGACACCCGCTTTTGCAAGACCACATTACAAGTCTCATTGTCGCCATAATTCTGTCTTTGAGTCCGTTATTTGAATTCAGACAGGTGAGCATTTCTCACAAGCAAGAGGCAGAGAGCTACTCTCTGGTGCCTGTATCTTCTATAAGGAAGCATAAACTTCCCTATAAATGCCCTACATACATGTCCGAATTGTACCATGTGACCACACGTACCTGGAAGGAAGGCTGCAGAAATGAGTACTTAGTTTTTCCAACCCCGGTGAGGGAAGCGGCAAAAAAGAAAAAAGGGAGTTGGGAATTGCTGTTGTCAGTTTCCCAATAATAGCTCCATGTACATCAACCAAGCAAGGCAGAAGCAAATCAGCTGTAGGAGAGGAAAAGGACAGTTTCTGATTTGGGTTAAGGATACCATGGAAGTAGACCTTAGGATAGGATTTTAAGCATAAATAAGATTTAATAGACGAGTTGGGGGCTACAGAACAATACAGAACATAATAAGCAAAGGAAAGACAAGGGGATATAAAATGACATGGCATGTTGGAGAATGAGCAAATAGTAGTATGGTATGTTTAGATACCAGAGAATTGTATAAATGTGCTGGTAGGGAAGCTGTGTGCTGAGAACTTACATAGGAATTTTGAGATTCATTTAATGAGGACTTTTATTGCTGTGCTAAATAGCTTAACTTTCCATGGTTTCCCAACCACTGGAATCAAAATCAAACTCCATGGCCTGGCAATTGAGGCTCTGGATAAATATAAATGCACCTAGCCTGAATTGCTTGTTCATTCTTTTCTATCACTATCCCCCATATATATGTCAGTACCTTTGGCCAACCTGGATTTTTTATCATACACACACCCACAACACACACATACACACACACTCACACACATACACACACCCACAACACACACAAATACAAACACCCTCTCTCTATGTACAATGCCTCCTGTTCTGGTTCCTGCAGTGTTCTCCCCATACTTTCCAAATTGAGGTTCTGTCCATCAAGGAGGACACCTTCCCAATGGAGGTGGAGTGGAATCATCTCTGATCACCTCACTTCTTTTTTGAACTATTATAGTATTTTAAATATGATTGTCCTTTGTCAGGAAGGGTGAATGGAGACAAACAAAACTCCTACTCCAGATTTAAAGCCTGGAAAGACCAATGACTCGGTCTCAGTTCAAGGTGTCTTTCTTCTCAGATGACTCCCAAACAAGCATTCAAGCAGTGCCAGGATGTACATAGGGTTAGGAGGCAAGTGAGTGGACATAGTTCCCCACTGTCTCCTTTGTCCCTCATGAAGTCATATTAGTAATTGGTGGTCAACTCATGCCATGGGGGTATGAAATCTTAGCAAATCTGAGGCGGCCACAGCCACAGGTTCAGTGCCTACACTGGGCCAGGGGATGGACCACATAGGCAATTCAGGGTTTGTCCATTACCATGTAAAGAATTTTTTGCTTCAGTATAATTATATTCCACTTTCTATTTCTGACCAAGATCTACAGATACAATCTTACCACATTTTTTTTCAAATTTTAGAAGATTTATGTATATATTTTAGACATTGTAACATAGTGGTTAACAGCATAGGTTCTGGAGTCAGACCTCCAGAATTTAAATCTCGACTCCACCACAAGTTATGTGATCTTGAAGTAATGCACCTCAGTTTCCTCATCTATACAATGGGAACATTAAAAGTATCCACCCTCCTTGGTTTGGTGTGAGAATTAAAGCCAGTGTCTCAGATTACTTACTGTTGTTTGTCAAATGTAGATCTTTTAGGGCAAAGACTGTATCATTCATGTTTTCCGCTATCATCTTTAAAACTTGCTATGTGCACCATAAATATTTGAAAAAATAAATGAATTTATTTATAATTGATTTCAGTGTTTCATGGCTCTAGAAATAAAAGCAACCAATGACACAGGGCAGCAGTAGAAATTTATAATGAGTGGGCTCATCTCAAACAGAAAAGCATTCATCCCATTAAAAAGCAGCCAGCTCCACAACACAGGGGTGGAAACACATATTTTACAACCTCCCTGGAGGGCAATTTGACAAAATTATCAAAAGTACTTTGAAAAATCATGGATTTGGACCCATTGTAATTCCATAAATGCTAAGAAAGTGACACAAAGAATGTTACAGGATAAAATGGAAACAACGTAAATCTCCACTAATAAGGATTAATTAAATTATAATAAAATATCCTATCTAATAAAAGAGAAACATGGTAATTAGCTGTACGGCCGCTACCCTTCCCATTGGCTAATCAGTGAGATATGCAAATTAACTGCCAACCAAGATGGCGGCCG